GGCTTGTTTATCGCGTGTATTAATTTAAACACGTTAAACTGGTTGGGAAGTCCACCAGCATGACCAGCATGCCAAACTGGGCATGCTGGGGCAATAACCCAGCTTGAAGCTGGGACCAGATCAACCAGCATGACCAGTATAACCAGATAAACCAGCATGACCAGTATGACCAGATCAACCAGCATGACCGGCATGCCAAGCTGGGCATGCTGGGGCAATAACCCAGCTTGAAGCTGGGACCAGCTTAAGCTGGTTTTTTCAATAGGGAACTGAACTCGACTTACTAAAGCGGAAGGAAATCAGTAACGTCACACCTACCGAACCTCAGCTTACTACAGCTCTAAACGAACTTTCGCAGCTGAAAACCCGTTGTGACGACGCGGAGGGCAGATCCCGTCGTAACAGCCTTCTATTTTTTGGCGTCACTGACACCGATAGGGAAACGTGGGCCCAGTCCGAGGGCTTGGTAACCGGCCTGTGTTCCAGTAACCTAGGCGTGAATATCGAATCAAGCAAAATTGAAAGAGCGCACCGCTTGGGAGCGTTCAATCCACAGAAATGTCGCCCTATAATTGTGAAGTTTTCATCATTTAAGGATAAAGAGGGCATTCTTTCGTCGGCATTTAAGCTCAAAAGGACACGTGTAGCCATCAGTGAAGATTTTCCCATTTCTGTCCGACTTGCGCGCCGTCACCTTCTTGATTTTGCCAAGCCTAAAGGCACGACTTACAAGCTGCGTCACGATAAGCTGTTTTTAGATAATAAGTGTTATTTATATGACGCCGCTCTTGGTGCCGTGAAGGAAAAAAGTGCATAGCAATGCCAGCGTTCATTTCGTTTTTCGTCACCCAATCAACCTGCAAAACGCCGTGATATCTGTAACAAACCTTCTTATCATTCTATTTTATTTACTAATATTAGAAGCTTGATACCAAAAAGAGATGATGTGATTTCCTTGGTTGAGGCATGCAACGCAGATTTCCTTGTGCTTACCGAGACGTGGCTAAGCCCCGATATATCCGATACTGAACTTTTTCCTTTGTGTCCAAACTTTCGTGTGTATAGGTGTGATAGATCCGGTAGGAGGGGGGGTGGTGTGCTTTTAGCTATAAATAATCAAATTCCGTCCCGGGTTATTCCGATTCTTACTGACTTAGAAGTTGTATTTGTGTACGTCGCTACGACGCCCCCCGTAATAGTGGCTGTGTGCTATAGACCGCCAGATAGTGATAAAGAATTTGTTAACAAGCTATATAAGTGTATTTCTGAAATCACCACTAAATACCCTAACGCCTTTGTTACTCTCTTTGGTGACTTCAATTACCCGAACGTTGACTGGTCTGCCCTCTCTTCTAGTTGCGCATTGTCTCAAGAATTTGTAGACTTTTGTTTAGATTTCAACTTTACAAATGTTATCACTCAGCCTACTAGGATTACTAATCACTGTAGCAATATACTCGACTTGTGCTTAAGCCAAGACCCCTCACTCTTCAGTAACATCACATACTTACCCGGCATTAGTGACCATCTCGTCATCGATTTAACTCTCTCTCTCTCTGCTGCTCATAGATCACATTACTGCAAATTCATTCGCAATTACGCGAGAGCTGATTACGCATTAATCAACTCGAACCTCGAAGATTTTTATCATACTTTCTCAGTTAACTTCTGGGAAAGAACGGTTAATGAAAACTGGACTCTATTCAAAGATAAAATGATCTACCTAATCGAACGCTTTATTCCACTGACCCGTATTATATCTGACAACACTAACCCTTGGTACAATAAAACAATTCATAGTCAATCCAATAGGAAAAAAAGACTCTATAAGCGGACTAAGGCTGTCAACACTACGGATTCTTGGGACACCTGCTACGAATGCGCTAGGGCTTATAAATCAGCAATAAATCACGCCAAAACCAAATTCTATAGTATCGACCTCCCCAACATACTAACCACGAAACCAAAGAAGTTTTGGAAAATAATCAATCCGGCACTTTCACTTCCTTTGCAATTTGTAGATGACGACGGACTTCCGCTTTCTGATAAACACGGCGCTCTTGCTATTAATAATTTCTTCTGCTCCATCTTTACTAACGAGGACTTACTAAATATTCCCGACTCGTGCCAATCCACTCACCCTCTCATGGATCCTATCGTAATTGACCGTACTGGAGTACTTAAGGCTATAGATCAACTAAAGGTGTCCTCCAGCTCCGGAGATGACCAACTTAACTCTAAGGTATTAATAAACACTAAACACATTTCTTCCACTTTCCTCTGCGACGTATTTTCTCAATCTCTTAAACTCTCTGAAGTACCTTCAGATTGGAAAGTTGCTAACGTCATACCCGTTCATAAAACAGGCGATCGCCAACTAATCAGCAACTATCGTCCCATCTCGCTCACCAGCGTTTCATGCAAACTCTTGGAGCACATTCTCTATTCTAACATAATAAATTTCCTAGACTCTCATAACCTCCTTTTCAAGCACCAGCACGGATTTCGCAAGTCCTACTCATGCGAAACTCAGCTAACAGCATTTCTAACTGACGTTTACTCAAATTTCGATTCCAATGTTCAAACTGACGCCATCTTTATTGACTTTTCCAAAGCATTTGACAGGGTCCCTCATCAACGCCTTTTAATGAAACTAAGAAATATTAATCTTCACCCCTCAGTAGTCAATTGGATTTCTGAATTCCTTACTAATCGCACACAGTACACTTCTATTAACAATATAAAATCTACCACAAGCGCAGTAACGTCTGGCGTCCCTCAGGGAAGCGTTCTTGGCCCCCTTCTTTTTTTAATCTACATTAATGATCTCCACCGTGGCATCACTTCTGACGTACGTTTGTTCGCCGATGACTGTGTCATATATAGACCCATTCATTCACGCCACGATCAGCTAACCTTGCAAAACGATCTCCAACTTATAATTCAGTGGTGTCATAAATGGCAAATGGCTTTAAACTATAATAAATGTAAATCGCTATCTTTTTCCCGCAGTTCACATGGTCTATCCTCCTCTTACCACTTTTCTGGCATCCCAGTAACTGCTTGTTCATCGTATAAACATCTAGGAATTCATCTGACATCTGACCTGTCATGAACCACTCATATAACAACTGTGATCGCCGATGCTAACCGCACTCTCGGATTTCTTCGCCGTAACCTCAGACAAGCCACATCCCCCGTAAAACAACTAGCTTATACTACCTTGGTCGGAACTAAACTAGAATTCGCTTCTTCCACATGGTCACCGTGGCAGGCATACCTAACTAACAACCTGGAATCCGTTCAAAGCAGGGCCCTCCGTTTTATTTATTCCGACTATTCCCCATACGCAAGCATATCAGGACTTCGCCAATCAGCTAACCTTGACACTCTTTCTCACCGCCGCAGGGTGTCTCGTCTTTCTCTTCTTCATCGGATCTTTTATTACAACAGTCATCTCAGACAAAGTTTGTTATCCCCTCCTTACCGCATTTTCCCTCGTCTCGACCATTCTTGCAAACTCCGTCCGATTTCATCGTCAACCGTCACTCACCAAATGTCTACTTTACCATTGGCCATTGACGACTGGAACTCACTGCCTGACGTAATTGTTACCTTATCTGATACTGAGAAATTTTCTGCAGCCGTTAGCTTATTTTTTCTAACCCATAACTAGATTACAGCGTGTTTTCGTAGATAAATAGTTTTGTTACTTGTTTGTTTTTTAAGTGTTCACTCCCTTGTGTAATGCCCCCTGGGCCTTCAAGGAATAATAAATGATGATGATGATGATGTAATGCATGCCAGTTTCGGCCGGCAGCTGGAGCAGCTGGTTGGGGCTGAATTCCCCACATCGTTGTTTGTACCTGCTCCAGAGTCGCTACTTAAGAAAGTGAGGGGAAGGCTACAGTGCAAACAAAGATAGGCCAAATAAGAGAGCGATATTCATTCTCAAACTTCATCAGATATCCCACAATCTAAGAGTGACCTAGAGATACGACACGCTTATCGTGTTTTCTGCATCTAACAAACTCGCGCAATTGTGTCTACGGGTTGCCAACAAAATTGTATCCAAGCGCATTTGCTCAGTCAAATAGAGGAACAAATATGTGGAATGTATGATGGGCATCGTGTATAGGAAGGATTCCGCTGACGTGCGGCGAGGTATTCGTCGGTCAAACGGGCCGATGTATAGATGAAATATTGGATGAGCATGCTTGGTATCTACGGTCGATAGCTGGGGGAACTTAGCGCTTCGTGGCGCAAATCGTGGATGCCAGCCTGACTTCCATCACGTCACGATTGCTGGAAGTGGGGGGGGGGGGGGGGGAACAGACAGGCTAGCGAAAGTTTAGAGACCTACACAATCAAGAGAGGGTCTGGACAGCGTGTAGGCCAAACATCGGTCCTTCAACATAGCGAAGAGATATGATATCCGGACACGTGCTGAATTTGCCATGCTGGTGGTGAATTTTTTGGACACATCACGCTTCGCAGGGCCAGTTTAAAAGTCTCTGGATTATTGTCTCAGTAACATCCTTGATCTCTCGCCGTCCCGGCCAGGTTTCGCGACGGCCAGGAGTTTAGCAGGAGCCAGAGGGCTAACATGTCACAGGAAGTCAGGAAGAGCATGAAGCAGCCGCCTTATTAGAGACCAGCGAAATCAGCACTCCACGCCACTCCGTCGTCGTCGTGGTCGACCATCATTACTGTCAGCGTTATGGCACGTCCGGCATTAGCTAGCTTTGCCGCTTTGAACCTCATGCAGAAGAAGCATGTTTCTGCTGTTGCCATTCTAATGAATTTGGTATATTGAGCGTCTTGCTAAATATGTGGTCTTAACGCGGACACACTCGCTAACTAGATGCAAAAAAGCATATATATATATTTGTTTTATTTTCTGTAAAACTGTAAACACCTATTCAACACAAGTGATTTCGCCCGAAGGTTGCGCAGGTGATCTCAGTAACTGTTTTAATAACATACAGATAAGACCGGTTTTTAGATTTTCCTAAAACACACTAATAATAAATGCTGGATTTTGTATCATTTGCTGGCTTGCATGTGCAATTGTTAGGATCTCGAACGCACGGAAGGATGAAGTCGTCCATGAAGGGCTTAATTCTAACGAAGTACATCGGGAGATCGGTGACGTTGCATGGCATCTCGGCAGCGGTTATTAGTCCCATCAAGGTCCAGCGGCCATCTGTTGTCTTGTACACCAGCGGGCCTCCGCTGTCGCCCTGTTTAAGAATCAAAAGGCGAATAGAACAAATTAAAGGGTTTAAATAGCGGGAACCCACGCGAAAGCTAATTTACATTCGTTCACTTTTAATTAGGATAGAGCGCATTGTGGGGCAGCCATCGCGCTAGTTTGACGCCTTCCATTTTCGTGTCAAAGAAACCTGTGGCTTGTTTTTACTAATAAGCGTACTCTCATTGAAAGGTACTTGGAAAGCAACGTGTCTGCACGGCCACGCACTTTTAATTTGTCTTGTAGCTCAAAACAGGAACCACTAGACATTAACAAATATTTGAGTGGTGGAACGGGTTTAGTCTACAATTCCGAATGTTACTGAAAGCAGTATAGGCGAAACTATATAAACACCAAACTGCGAACTTATATGCTTATTGCTGTCTGTCCTGTTTGACTAACACTTCTCCGTCCTCTACTCTGGAAGCTCTAGAACTTATAACACTCAGTTCTAAAATTGCCAATCAAACTTCCGTGATCACCTCAGAGAGCACTGCATTGGAGTTCTAATGTGGGTCACAGAGAAAGTGCGAATACACCTGGGCTCCTATTTCTCGGAGCTTGTATCTATACCGAGTTCATTCATAAGCTGACAGTGCGGAAGAATCAACGTGCTTGTTGGACCAGTTCCATGTCTATATTTTTCCATACAATCGCGCTCCCGCCCATGCTAGCCCTCATACTAGCGCGCAGAGAGCGGAGTCAGTTGATGATAGGGAGGTGGTTGATTGACCCGGCGAGCGCGTAGCTCTCAATTGCACTGTCAGCTTAGGGGTGAACGGAGTATAGGCAGAAAGCTGAACATTTGGGGTTCGTTGGTATGCCTAGACAATAATCGCGGAGGCAGTCTACCATGACAAAATAAATAAAAAAACAAACAGACAAGTCACGTGACTTCCGATTCAAAAAGAAATATATCTAGGGAAGTAGTAATTCTACTGATGAAAGTGCAGAGTGGCGGCGGGGAGTAGCTTTACTCTCCTCCAGCACGAGCTTCCTACCTTTGACGACGCTTAGGCGACTCGTGCACTCGAGGGCGCGTGCGCTTCTAAAGTACGGTGGAAGGCATAGAGCGTTTGCTGGCGAATGGGCGTTCTGAAAACACGCCCTGTTGTTTTCATTCCGTCAGTGAACACAGTTGACAGCGTTCTTGATTGTTGTCGGTAAAAAATTCTGAATTCTGAGTTTTTCCAGTCGTAATATTACCGGGACTGGCTGCCCCTGTCTTCCCAGGGCAGCCAGATGTTTCTAGGGCCGTTCAGCGCATGCGAACACCTACGTAAGATATAAAGATTGATTGCGGAGATTTTGAATCGGAATGTTTTTAAATGCCTTGGGAAAGGAGATTACTCTTTTTAGTTCTTCAGACTTGCCCTATTATAACTTAATAGTGCATATGTTACTAACAATATGTTAGTCCTCACCAAGCATATAGATCCAAAGTCGTGCATAGCGCAAACGATGTTTCCATGAAGTGACGAGTCGTTATACAGCTTATCGCATTCCTCATTTGGGATTAACTGAACTCGGGCTTGTTGGAGCAAATCAGGAAACGTATTTTTGGCCGGGGAAACTGGCGCCGTACCGGGGTCATAGTAGTCTTCATATGACTCGGTTGTGTCTGAAATATAAAATCAGATGGAGGCCGAACGATTAAGTTGACCATGAGAAATTCTTTTTGATTTGAAACAAATCTGGAAACCGTGAAAAAGTCTGAAGCTCAATCTTGCTCGATTGATCTTTGTTATTTGAGTAGGATTTAAAAAAAAATAAAGAGTACAGAACGTTTTTAGAGCGCAGCTCTTAGGGGCCCGTTCCCGGCTTGAGCGGCGTCGCCGTCGGCGTAACCGCAACCCTCGTAACCCTCGTGAGGGTTACGAGGGTTACGAGGGTTAATCTCATGAGGGTTACCCTCACGAGGATCACGAGGGTTACTTACCCTTGTTACCCTCACGAGGGTTACGAGGGTTAGTTACCCTCAAAAGGGTTACCTTCACGAGGGTTACCCTCACGAGGGTTACTTACCCTTGTAACCCTCACGAGGGTTACTTACCCTTGTAACCCTCACGAGGTTTACGAGGGTTAGTAACCCTCGTGAGGGTAACCCTCGTGAAGGTAACCCTTTTGAGGGTTACGAGGATCAGTAACCCTCGTGAGGGTAACCTTCACGAGGGTTACCCTCACGAGGGTCACGAGAGTTATGAGAGTTACCCTCACGAGGGTTACTTACCCTCGTAACCCTCACGAGGGTTACGAGGGTTAGTAACCCTCGTGAGAATAACCTTCACGAGGGTTACCCTCACGAGGGTCACGAGGGTTATGAGAGTTACCCTCACGAGGGTCACGAGAGTTACCCTCACGAGGGTCACGAGAGTTACCCTCACGAGGGTCACGAGAGTTACCCTCACGAGGGTCACGAGAGTTGCCCTCACAAGGGTTACTAGGGTTACCCTCACGAGGGTCACGATGGTTACCCAGGTCAAGTGACCCCCCCTGGGGTCACGTGACCTGGGGATACCCCCGAGGTCACGTGACCCCCCGTTGACGTCATAGCCACGGATGACGTCACCGGCATCCGCATCGTCATCGTCATCATCACTGATGACGTCCCCGGCATCCGCATCGTCATCAGTGATGATGACGATGACGATGCGGATGCCGGTGACGTCATCAGTGACGTCACTGAGGACGTCACCGGCATCCGCATCGTCATCATCATCACTGATGGCGTCATCAGTGACGCTACTGATGACGTCATCGGTAGCGTCACGTGGCCCCAGGTCACGTGACCCCCCCGACGTCACGTGACGCCCCAAGGTCACGTGACTCCCACAAGGTCACGTGACCCCCAAGGTCACGTGACCCCCCGCCCCCCGAGGTCACTTGACCCACCCCCCAGTACCCTTCCCTCCTCCTCCTCAAGAGCTGCGCTCCAATTCGGCGTTACAGGGAGTTGTAAACGGCTTTCACTTTTTTTAACGCGAAATTGGCTTGAGTATATCTGTATTTTCTAGCAAGTTAAAATTGTTTAACGAGCGTGGTATGAGGGAATCTCAACTACATGAATTCCCTGGAGAAGGGAAGCAAGTGACGCAAAGGACAAACACTAATCTCCAAACACAGCTCAGTGACTTGTACGCGGCTGAAAAATCCGCCTGGTCATGGTTGGTAGAAAACTCCACTGGAAATGGAGACGTCCCGGGTTCTATACCAAGACCAGGAGGATTTTTTCTTGGTAGCGCACCAGCAACCTAGTTGTGTTTGGAAACTTGTGTTTTTCATCGATAATTATAATGCAATTAAATGCATCATTGTTCCTCTTCCCAGGGATTATTATAGTTATTCTTGTCCACCTCGCTTACACCTTTGCATTAATTACATTATCATTAAAAGGAATCTTGTTAGTTATGTTTAAGAATATACTTCTTGGGCGTGGCTGAAAATAGGGTGCCTAGTTTTGAACCCCTGGAAATTAAATGAGGAGGTGATGAGAGTAGCAATTATTTCTCAACGTGTTCAAGGTAGGTTTCACCATTAAAACCGTGGTTTTGATTCTTAAAATTAAGTTTCTACTAGTGAGCTATATTGTAAGTATTACATTGCTACAGGCAGTGTATCCTTATATTCATAGTTATTTTTCAGCATCGAGTGTATCGGGGAGTCAGGCTCGCAATGACACTAAAAATGCCAATATAGTGAGAGGGGAATAACTAGTGAAGTATAAAATTATATTTGTATTAGATATTTGAAGTGTTTATGCCCCAGAAGGATTGAACCAAATGAATACGGGAACCTAAGCTGTTAGGCGCTTTTATAGCAAGCTTAAACCGCAGTAACATTCTTATACGGGCACTGACACCCCAAAGGTCGTATTTTTCGTTGTTGTATAAAACGATGCAAATTGTAGATATAGAAACACAAAACAAAAACGCAACGCGAAAAAAAACAAAACAAAAACAGACTCCTGCGTGCGCGCACGCCTTTTCATTTTGAGCGTCCTTCTCTCCCTTCTCTCGCCTCCTTGTATCTTTTTATTTCTGACGCGCGAAAAGTTGAAATTAAGGAGCATTGTAAGTGACATTTCTATTATATTTAATAACGACAGCCGTAAAACGTGTTTTTTTTAATGCAATTGCGAACATACTACGTCCCTCCTTTTTGAAATACCTAAAATCGGAGCCCAAAGTGACGTCGACTCGTGGCTTTTTATCCTCCCTTGGGAAAACATGGCGGCGCTGGCGGCGGACGGCGCATAGAGCACTGAGGATTGTCGGTGAGTCGGGGAAGCGGGCGAAGTTCTTTTCTTTAGGTGCCCTATGACCTCTCAGACATTGAGAAGGAAATCGTCAAACGGTCACAACACCTGGGTTTGGTATCTGTTTACTCTAGTTTCGGTTGTGACTTCGCCGTGGCAGCATTACACGCAGAACCGGCGCGACGCGGCCCCTCGCGTCGCTGAAAAAACGTCCACTGCGCGTCCTCTTTGACCTCACACTATTTCAAAGAATTTGAGGTTGCTGAAAGGGCCCTAAAATAACTTCAAACACAAAATTGAAGCGTTGGCTGCTCACAGCAGCAGGCGGCGGTCACTGAGAAGAGCGTTTGGGTTGGATTGGATTGGGTTTTCATGGCGCAAAAGCATATACGGCTATAATGCGCCAGGTACATCAACTATTGCCGAAAAGGGTTAGGAAGAAGAAAGAGCTCTAGTAGCAGATGATGTGATAAAACTATGAAAATGAGGTGATGAGGTGTGTATAAGTGTAATAGGTAATAGGCATTGTTTTCAATCATTTCGGATTATAAAGAAAATCTTATTTGACCTCTTAGCGCCCCTTTAAGCACATCTGAGCGCATCGGTATACCCCACCTTCAGTTACTTCTTGGGATTGTTTCTCGGAGCCGGATTTTACTGTCATCAAATCTTCTTTGGCATGAGACCCGTCCATATCTTCAGACAAAGACTGGTTATTCCACATGACCGCTGCAAAAAGGAGTAGAAAAAAAAAAGAGATTGATTAATGTAGCTGTATACTGTAGGTGCTAACATCATGGAGTGCATCAACATCGTTAAATTATTACAACAAATTGTTGCAAGTGTAGTCCTCAGTAATATATATTTATAATTATAAATTAGAATTTTAAAGAATTCATTAAAAGATTGGCAAAGCAGTGTGCCGTGGACGCAAGCGGCGCGAAGACTATTTTGTTGTTGTTTGGCACCTCGCTTCCCAATTGCTATCTGAAGGTTTGATACACGCGGTGAGGACTTTAGAAAACACATTATAATGACAACGTATTTATACGTTCTGTAAAACAATACAGACGATTTTTAGAACACTTTTTGGGAGATTTGGTTCTTCGATCGAGGCGTTGTCCAATACTGAGTTATACGAATAAAAGTCAGTGAGACCAGCAAGTGAGAGCTCAGTTTTTTTTATGAACTTAATGCCTTCCCATCACTACTGCGTTTCATATTGCCATGCCGATTTTACTAGTTAGCAAGGAACACCTAAATTACGTAAAGTTTGCTTTTCTTTTGAAGGGGATGAATTCTACGTGATTTACGTGTGTGCCGAAATCAATATCCCAAAACAACTGCCTTGGGCTTTCTGAAGAAATACAGTATTTTTATTTATATGCTTATATGAATAAGTGAACCATAAATTACTTTGACAGGAATATAGCAACCTTAACTTTTATTTGCTGTCAAAACCTTTGATTTTGTTTTTTGACGCTATAATCACTGTAGCTGACTCGGACGCGGTCATATTTACTATATAAATATCTGTAATCTGGTATCATTCCTAAAAAAGTGCTTTCATGAGTTAGTATTTACTAACTTTGCCGTTCCGAACCGTCACTCTCATACAGAACAGCAAGTAAGCTTACGTGATGACAAGAAAACACGTTTAAAAAGAGCATATTTCAAGAAACAAAAGACGAAGAAAGTGTTAATGGTTTACGTAACATTTGAAACATTGTCTTCGGAGCGGGTATTAAATTGTGATTTTTTTTACGATGAACCGCTGATTTCAAAATTATAGAAAAATTAATATATGTGGTGCTCAAGCGCACATTGAACTTCTAACGTTTTAAAGAGCCCCTTCAAAGCAATAAAACAGTTTAAATGCAGAGTTTATATATGTTATAAAATTACAATTTGATAGGCGTTTGGTGGAAGCGTAAGAGTGTACTGGAAAAGCGCTTTTAGTAATACCTGAAAAGTTTAATATGCTGTTGTACCACAAATAAAAAGCAGTGTCATAATTTCGTGTAATAAACTAACTCTACTTGTTAGTTAGGTATAACCTAAAACGTTTTTACAAGTGTATACTGCAGCGACCAAAATGATTAATACCGGAAAGCTAACAAATTATTCCAAATCATTGACGCTATGCTACTGTGTATCCGACCTCATTCTTGAACTATTGTTGGACAGAAGGATTATATGAAGCATCATTTACGTACAACGTTTACATTTTTAACTTCGCTATCTTGATCGGACATTTGCGAATTAATGTATGACTATACTCCGTCTCATCGTACGATGGACTAAAGCCCAGTGCTACAGGCCGCTGGGTCCAATAAGGAACCCGATAAAGCCACGTGATTTGTTTGCTGACTGCGTACGCTTGCTACTACTGAAGTCTACTGAAGGGGCTAGATATCTTCTGTATGCGATGTGACGAAGAGAACTCGGGATAAGAACCAGTATCGATTAAGAAATGAAGATGAGTCAGACTGAGTGTTCGACAAGGCAGCGTATGTACGGACTACCTGTGAACGGGGGATACGGGTCCAGGTGCGTTCACAAAGATTGGATTGGATTGGCTGAACGACTTGCGCCCTCCAGCTTCTCCAAACAGTTCACATATTTACGAAATATGGCATGAACGTTTATGAGACTGAATACCGTGTACTTTTCCTTCGCCAATATAGATAGCACCCTTTCAACACAGAAAACCATGAGCGAAATATTAGTGCTCTTCGTACTCTGCGTATCGAAAGTTCTCTCGCGCACTCCTTTGAAATTCGGATACGCGCTTTCCCGGGGTAGTGCTCCTCCCCCCCCCCCCCCTTGGCCTTCGGGCCCTAGTTCATCGCAGGGTGAGTCGGAGTGTAGTATCAGACTTAAGCGCGAAACACATGTACGACGAAACCGTCCGATCCGACGTCCAACCGCGCAATACGACGGTCGGAGGCGAGGGTTTTCGTAGCATCGGAAAGCGTTGAAAACCCTCGCCTCCGACCGTCGTATTGCGCGGTCGGACGTCGGATCGGACGGTTTCGTCGTACATGTGTTTCGCGCTTTACTCTTTTCGAATTTTGTTTTCTTTAAGTATATGTTATACATCAGTATTACCAAAGGCAGTTTGGACAGAAATACCCTGGCCTGGTTGAAATGTACTCATGCTCTCGTAGTAACAGTATGTTAAAAAAAAGTCGTGGAGGTTTTTTGAACACTTTGTAAATCCTGTGTATGTTCCTCCAGAAATATTTTCAGTGGAATATACGCCAAAGGATTACACTTGTATACCTAACGCTACAAGTTAAATATTTATAGATTAGGGGCAAAGGAATGGAAAGTGTTATCTCGTAAACGGCACATGGTAGCACGTCCAAACGCCCACCGCCATTTTCCTGTTATTACTTTAGCTGAGAATACGATGAAAGTCACCTGGTGTAATGGTGTATTCTTAATAAATTTCAATATTTCGGTAAACCAAAAGTCATCAGTATACAGCCGGAAGATGGAAAGTACATAATTTGGGAGTTCAATATTAGGCATTAAAAACTAGAGAGGTCCCAAAAAGAAAGGCTTCGTTTTTTCAAGAGGAAAACGGCAACGCCTGGAAATGTCAGAGGTAGCATCAACTCTTTGGGATATCTTTCCATTAACTAAAACTACCATAAAGTTCCAAAAGAACGCACGCCCCCGAGTGGGCATCGGGTTTTTCTGGCTAATTATTTGTAACATAAAAATTCCCAAACATCGCCCACCCCCCGATTCCTGTCGGACGTCACGCGATATCTGAGAGGAATCGCACCAACCGCGGAATTTGCTGTACCGGCAGGTCTGACAAATGTGACAGGCAAATTTGTAGAGGGTTACTTCGTGTTTATTGCACCATAAAAATTGCACCTGCTGCATCCGCCATTTGCGGTATCTGCTTTCGTGAGATGCGAGTTCTTCGCACCGTGAAAGGCGAATCTGCTGAGTCCGCAACCTGCGGTATCCTTTCCCGTGGCACAGGAGTACGTACTGAATTCCCGCGTGTTTATCGCATCGTTCAACTCTAATTTGCCGTGCCCGCGATCTGCGGTATCAATTCCCGCGTCACGTGGTTTGTAGCCGGTGCTAGGGTGTTTAACAATAATTATTTATAAAGTTTTGCTCTGGCCTTCCCAAAGATAGCCTACCCCACGCTTTTCACCATTTAATTCTTGAATTTGAGTGGGCGTTCTTTCAAAATGTTACGGTACACGCAAGCAACTGGACACGATGTGGACAGACAGAAACCTCTAAATTATTCGTTTTTTTAACAATATCAGCCTTAGGTGTTTTTAATGACAACTTTGTTAGTTGCTCTTACGTTCAGTGTATCCCCATCCAGCAACATACATGGGAACGTCACAATCTGGATTGTCATTGATGTCGGACAGACAAACTGGTTTAATGGTTTCTGAAAATTCCACAGGTCTTTTCAGTGTTATGATGGCAATGTCAGTCTAAAAAAAGAAAGGTACAAGTGGTTTGATATAATTCAAAATTGAATGTGAACAATATTAATACTTTCAGATTAGTATATTGCAATACATAAAAATTAAATTTAGTCATTAGCCGTGTGCATGAACAAATCGGCGAAAATCAGAATAATGAAAGATTTAATTAAGATATTCTGGAGGAGGATAACACTGCAACATTTTGAATATTTTCCAGAATTCATTTATAGCCCTAGGGATGAAAGAACCGTATGCGGTTTATTAAAGAAGCAGAATTTCATTTATTTTTTGCTTTATTCAATGAAAATCTACGAGATGATGGCAGAAGTAGAGGATAAAACAAAAAAAAAAAAAAAACACGTAGATACTTTTTAGTGTCGTCAATTTAACAGCTACCAAGCACTATTTGAGCAATAGAGAAGTGTGTAACAATTTTCATGACAGCGTTCATGCGGTCACTTGCCTCGAATTTGTCCTTTACAAATTGAGAGTACATGCAGATGGTTTCAATTTCTTCCTTCAGTCCTTTCTCTCCTTGCTGCCTGGAATGGCTCCCAAGCAAGACGGTAAAGAATCTTTTGGGTATTTGGCTGTAATTAGATTATACATAGCATTATTATTTCTGTGCTTACTCTGTACTTTAAAGGAACGTCATATAAACACCACGTGAGACCTAGTGCGTCCTCCTGATTGAATTTATTCCCTAAAGAAAGCTGATCTGTACAAAAGTTTGGAAAAGGCTACATTGTACTCCGCCGAAGACTTACGCGTTTCATGTGACGTCAGCGTCTAGGGCGCACATGTGTTGCTCGTCTCAGCCACTGGGGGGCAGCACCGCGGGTGCAAAGATGCGCTCCGATAATGCGTTCAAACTGAGCGGTTTTTCAGAGCGCCGTAAAATGCTCTCCCTGCAGCTGCCCTATATATTTCTAAAAAGAGTTGTTTTAGTGGTTTCGGATGATGCTTGGCAAGTTTCTCAGTTGAACCACATGTTTGTTTTCACTAACTAAAACATTAATGAATACATTTTAGTTAATTATCTCGCTAATTAGTACGTTTTTGCAACTCTTGACGTCCGCTAAGGTCGGTAGATTGTTCCTTCAAAAAGTTCATTTTTTTTTTTAAATCTCTAACAGCCTATATTTAGGTTTTTTTTATATATATATGATGAAGAGCGGTCGCCGCTCGAAACGTCGTAATAAATTTCGTATTAGTAACTCCGACAGTACGAATCTTAGACTCATTAACTTTTCCCGGTCCATTGTTTTATATTTACCTTATTTCATATATATATATATATATATATATATATATATATATATATATATATATATATATATATATATATATATATATAAAATTTTAAAAAAGAGGAGCTGCCTTAGGGCACTTTTAGTTATGCCATCAGCATACCCGACCGGGCGCCCACTAGGAACAAGGTATTTTTGGCAACTAGGCGGCTAATTAACGGAGATCTCTTAATTAACTTCTTAATTGTTGTTTTTAGAGGGCCTATTTCATTTACGAAATTGAAGACCAACCTTAATATGCTCCAACCCCACATCGAAATAAAGGCACAAAATATTTCTGCGCGCGTTTCAGGCTAAATTATTTCTTTCCCGCATGCTCTTTCAAACCGAAACTGACCAGAACAAGGGCGTCAATGGCGTCGATATCTTCGCCCTCGCTAGGCAGTGACGTCACCTGTGATGCAGGCACTGCCGTCAGCGCTACTGCAACACGTTCCTCTCTCCTTTGTGTTTTTGCTTACCGCGGCAGGTGTAAATCACGCTGTCCCAGCGGGCATCGTGACGCTACCCTTTCCTTTCGTTGATATGATAGAAGCTGCTCTGAAGACTTGTGCCAATGGTGCTACAAAGCGACGAACGCTGCGTCACTTGCTCGTCTGTTGTAAAAGACACAGGCTTGCACCCATACCTTTTGAAGGACGAAGGCTACAAATAACATAGGCGCTATGCGATTCATAGTGCTGTGCCTTTCTTTCTCTGACTGTGGCAGGAAACACATCTGAATGGCGTCGCTCATTGCGACAAGGCTTTCGGTTGAAGAAAAAACAGACATGGTAATCGCATATTTAACTATGCAAAAGAATGCTCGTCGTGCTGCGCAACTTTATGCCGCTCAGCAGCCAGGTCGCTTCGTTTCTGCCCACACTTCGTTCAGACGCGTTTTCAACAAGTTTGCATCACGTGGCACAGTGGTGAGTGGGCGAAGACAGAAAAAATATGTCCATAGCCGCGAATTTCAGACTGACGTTCTCGCGTACGTAACAGCTAAGCCTGAAGCAAGCGTGCGCGAAATTGTGAGGTCTTCTGGGACAACGATCTCTACAGTGTGGAAAGTGCTTGCGAAGCATCGCATGTATCCGTTTCATGTTAGCCTGCACCAAGAGCTACACGGCAGTGACTTCCAACGACGACTGGACTTTTGCAATTGGGCCATGATTGAAATTGACCGGGATCCTGGATTCTTGCAAAAAATTATTTGGAGTGATGAGGCTCAATTCTGCAGAAATTTAATGGTGAACCTCTACAATGCCCTTTACTAGGCAAGCGTAAGTCCTCGTTGGCCCCCTCAGCACGAACATCAAGTGAGATGGTCTATTAACGTATGGTGTGGAATATTTAATGATAAAATCATTGGCCCATATTTCTTTGACGGCACAGTGAATGGAAAACTATACACGGAGAGAATCTTGAGGGAGTCGTGGAAGAGTTTATTGCCGGCCTGCCTCTCAGCGTGCTGAAGGAGACGTGGTTTCAACAGGAAGGCGCTCCAGCGCATTCTTCTTCGCGTGCTGTTCGATTTCTACAGCGAACTCTTCCAGAGCAGTGGATTGGACACAGTGGTCCAGTTCCGTGGCCGGCACGATCGCCAGATCTAAGCCCGTTAGATTTTTTCTTTGGGGTTATGTGAAGAATGAAGTCGACGCCACGGAACCGACCAGCGTGGACAACCTGACACAAGGAATCGACGCCGCCGATGCCGCAGTTCAGCCTGAAATGCTCGGGCGCGCGTTGTGTTCCATGCGGAGCCGACTGGTGATGCGCGTTTCTGTAGATGGAGTCCAATTCGAGCACTTGCTTTGAACGCAACTGTTATCAACTTCATGAAGTGGCCAGGCGGCGGCAAACGCTGGTTGGCTTATCACATGCCCAATTAACTTTAGCTCCCAAGCCTTCTTTTTTTTTTAAGTACCAAAATACGCTAAGCCATATTTTTGCCTGCTATTCTCGACGATCTAAAAGGTTTTTGAAGAAAATACTGGTGCTGCGAAAAGTGCTAAGTTGGGACTCAAGTTATACGTCAGCGTGTTGGTGAACTAAATAATACTGAAATAATAAGCAGAAGGACGGACAGTGGAATAAACAGAGAGCTGGACGGACAGAGGCACGAATGCACGAAAGATGCGTTGTTCTGTCTGTCCCTCTGTTTATTCTTTCAGTAATATTTGGGGCTCTAAGTGAGGCAGTAAAACCTTGTTCTCAACAGTGCCCTGTTTGAGCTACACTTCAAAAAGCGCCGATGCCGCGTTCATACTGTGCCGCGCACAGCACATGACTACTGTAACGTGAGCCAGGACGCCGGTGCAAGGCTCCTTCCTCGTTTATTAAGAGCCCATAAAACATAGAACAAATAAGGATTATTTTGTTACACGCTGCTATAGTTTAACTGCCAGAGGGGCCAACGAGTGATATTACACAAGCATGATTACTTTGTTCCATAAAAAAAAGACTTCGCTAGTTTAATGCATCATTAATGAGGAAACGCTAAGAACTTTCGGCTGCCTTATGGAAGAGGAAACGTGGGATGACGTTTATGCTGAGTGCAATCCTAGAAATGCCTATAGAATATTCCTGATGAAAGTCAGACAGTACTATAATGCAGCTTTCCCTCTTCAGGAACGTAGAGTGAAATGTAAAAAATTGAGAAAGCCTTGGATGACTAGAGACCTGTATGGAAGAATAAGGCAAAAAAATGCCAAGTATCATGCCTTCATTCAGCATCGTGATCCGCGGCTGCTTATCGAGTTCAAGAAATGCAGAAAATAACTTAATGCCGACCTAAAAAAAGCAAAATGCGAATACTATCAAAAAGAACTTCTACGCATACACAATGACCATAGAAAAGTGTGGGACACAGTAAACAAACTCACGAACAGGGAACAGGCACGATGTAATCTGAAAGAAATACTAATAGATAATAAACGTGTCACTGGTAAAGAACTTGGCGATGAAATGAATAGACATTTCATTAGCATGGGTGCGTACACTGGGAGGGCTTCCAACATAGATGACTGTAATGACGCAGGAAACCAAATTGGGTCGATTATGCTTACTCCAACGACACCATTTGAAATTGATAAAATAACCAGAAACCTAAAAAATGACGTCGCCGCTGGAGTAGATGAAATAAAAACCCTACCTATTAAGTACACTGTGACCATAGTTAGTCCAGTTCTATCGAATATAGTAAATAAGATGCTTCAGTCCGGTGATTTCCCTGACGAGCTAAAAATAGCCAGGGTCACTCCAGTGTATAAAGGAGGGGGTGAGACAAACATTAATAACTACAGACCTATCTCAGTTCTTCCAGTTTTTTCTAAAGTATTTGAGCGTGTCATTGCTGATAGATTAACATGTTTTTTTGAGAAGCATAATATAATAACGAAGTCCCAGTACGGCTTTCAAAAGCAAAAATCGGCGGAGCTAGCGCTTCTTAACATAAAGGATAAAATAGTAGAAAATATTGAGAACAAATTATTTACTCTTGGTCTCTTCTTAGATTTAAGTAAAGCTTTTGATACTGTGCAGCACAATATTTTACTTAGAAAGCTTGAAATTTACGGTGTGCGCGGAGTAGCTCTAAAATTAATTGAAACGTATCTTGCGGATCGTTACCAATATGTACTAATAAACGGCGAATCGTCAAATCGACTTAAAATACAGCATGGTGTCCCTCAGGGGTCAATTTTAGGTCCACTTCTTTTTCTTATATATGTTAATAATATAACGACTATATCCGGTTCCCCCGACCTTATAATGTATGCAGACGATACCAACGTATTCTTTTCTGGAGTGACGAAAAAATGCCTAGAAAATGCTGCAAATGTCTATCTATTGAAGCTATCCAACTGGTTACAAACAAATTCTTTAAAACTAAATACAATCAAAACTAAGTATATTATTTTTAAGCCAATAAATAAACTCGACTGCAGCCCCATAAGCTTAAAATTTGAAGACACTGTGCTTGAGCAAGTGTCGGAACAAAAATTTCTTGGTGTATGGTTTACCGAGGACCTTTCATGGAACACTCACGTGAATAAACTCAAAGGTGAATTATCTCGTGTTACGGGAAGTATATATGTAAAAAGGAAACTTGCTGCCCACTTGGCTAAAACAGACGTTGTACTATTCTTTGGTCTACTCTAAAATCAGTTACGGTATCTTAGTTTGGGGGACGACGATCAATTCGAACTATGTCAAACTTATCACCTTGCAGAAGAGGATTCTTCGCATGTGCGAAAATTATAAAGGAGATATTAGAAACATAAGAACCCAACCTCTATTCATCAAATATAATATGCTTCAGGCAGACCAAATATACTATTTTAAACTCTTACAATGGATTCACAAACATAGAATATACTCCACACCAAAATCGAGTTTAGGTCCGTACCAACTACGAGACCCAAAACGAAGGATGCCTTCAATAAGAACCAATTATGGCCGCACTGCTTTGTCATATCAGATAACTAAGATGCTAAACAGAACAGACATGACTATAGATTATAATAAAACATTTTATGCCTTCAAAAAACAGTGCCGAAGCTTTCTCGTGGGCAGTGGTATGAGCTTCTCACTTGTGTGATATGTAGGCTTAGCTGTTATTTTTATTATGTATTTATATTTGACTACAAATATGGCTCTTGGCATATATTCGATCATTATTCATTTCTAGACTAAATTGCTGCCATCAGCCCTATTTTAGGCTGTAACCTTCTTCTAACGTTTTATTCTTTCTTTTTTTATATATATATTAGTGATATGATGCTTCTGTGTCATACGACGTTACATGTGTTATACGCCTCGAATCATGCTTGCTGTGTAACATGTTTTTGCTTGGTGTCTGATTGTGCCGTTTTTTTATTTTTTACAAGTCACAATGTTGAATGTTAAAATACCTGTTCCACTGTGCTTTTTTTAATTTCTACTGAGTATACTTTTTGCTGATTATATTCATTGTACTGTTTACTGTTGAACTGTTGGGGGGGCAGAGACTTTGTCAGGCTTCACGCCTTTATCTCTGCCCCCTGGGCGGAAAAAACCCGCCAAACAAATAAAGAAAAAAAAGAAAAGAGCAAGAACTTAGAAATAAAGCAGCGGTGGCAAATAATAGGTAGCAGAAGTCTCCAGCATTGAAAAAAATATTTTTTCCAAATAAAACGCAGGAAGCTCGTCTAACGTTGCCGGCCGTTGGTAATGCATGCAACAGCATTTATCGTACCAACGAAAGCGTCGTGTCGCCCGCAGGTCAAGAGAGGGATATTGTCATTCATGACAATATCCCTCTCTTGACCGGCGATGATGATGAGGCGATAATAACTGAAGAAACTAAACGTTTAATGGGGCGAACTTGTGCCCAAAAATAAAAAGGGAACAGAAGAAAGCAGGCGTCGAGTCGCGGGCGTCGAAATCGGCGTGACAGCAGATTCGAACGCTGGGGCGAAACTGACTCCGGCTTGCCACGCGGAGCCCCTTTTGTACCCGCGAGAGCTTCTGGAACATGCGGCGTAGAAGGTTCGGTTTGTAGAACATTCTAACTTCGAATCAGCAAGATGGTTCTTGAATTTACCAGAACGTCACGTTACAGCATGAACAAAAATGTGTAGACGCGGCCGGGAATCGAATCCTGGCCGCTTCTAGATAGAACTTTCTACGAGGGTAGAAAGTTCTATCTTTCGT